CTACTACTACTACTACTACGACGCCTACTCCTACTGCTGTTGCCACTACGACGACCACGATTGGCTCTAAACCGTCAGTGCCTAGCAGCAAAGGCAGCAATCATGATGGTCATGCTGATGGTGACCTTGATGTCGAATGTGATTGTCAAGATGACAGTGATGACGCTAGTGAGGGAACCGCGGTTGATAAATGCTGCGCTTGGCAGTATCGTTGTTCATAAAGGCAGCATCAGTGAGAGGGGACGCGGTTTCTTTTTGAAGAACAACATCTTTGGTTGTTGCGACCTGCTCCGACTGCCGAATGCCGAGGTATCGATGTCTACTTCGGCACCGCGCAAACTATCCGGCTTGGAGTTTGCGCCGGGGTGGTTGGCTATCGATTCGAGCCAGGCGAGGAGTCCTGGAAGCCTTGTAGGGCACTTGACCTGTTGCTGTTGGCCGTGACGGCAGGTGCGGGACTGAATAAAGACTGCCGGACACTTAGTGGTTGCCAGTGATGCCACGACATGTGGGTTAATGTCTTCATGAGCGCGCCATCAGCAGCAATTTGTCAATACTTCCTGTACTCGCTTCGCTATGATGACGATACTTACCATTCCTCGTGTCGTTTCCTCGTTTGCAGATGCTCGTACGTGGGGGCGCAGTGTTGCTACCAATATCGCAGTTCAACTTGTAAGCTTGGCCGTGCTGATGACGCTAGTGAGATGTCCAGGGTGACGTTCAAGATCGTAGAGATGGTGGCGGTTCTGGTTCCCAGCAACATGGTGGTTTTGATAGCGTCCGTGACCATGTCTACTATGGAGGTGCTATGTCCTTATAGCTGCTTTATATGTCAATTTTGTACACTTAATAAATCCGAAACCGTATTTTGACTATGCCGGTAACGCCCCAGTAATTGAAGAACATCTAGACATCTTGTCCTCGTTTTTGGTGATGGTGATGATATGTTCTTGTTTTGATGCTACTTGTGGTTGTCGTGGTGGTAGCGATCGTGTTGATGATGGCGACCGTGGTGGTTTCCATATGATGCTGACGATGATGACAGTGATGGTGATGTATGCTTTTCGAGGAGGAGTGGGACTGTGCCTGTAAGAGTGAACCAATTGGTGCCGAGGAGGAGGAGGAGCCGGAGGTCCTTGTATGGGAAGGACAAGCACGATGAAACTTCTGAAAGCAGGAGACGAGGAGCATAAGATCACGAGAGTCAGGATTAGGGCCACAATCACGATGATGTTGAGGAGGACGAGGACTGTAGTCGTTTGCAGAGTCAGTTTAACTCCCTCCACCCGAAGCCCTAGCTGTAAGAGAGGTTCCTGGGCCGGCCTTGATCTGTGGCCCCTGGCTGCGGACTCGGTGCCTGGCCCGGATGCCGTCGGTGGCTACGGACTCCGCTTCGATGGCTCCTTTTCATGCAGAAAAGAGGGTCTTGGGGTTTGTTGCAGCTCCTTTTCATTTCTACGAAACACTGCGACTACTACTGCTACTGCTACTACTACTACTACTACTACTACTATTTCTACTACTGCTACTACTATTTCTACTACTGCTACTGCTTCTGCTGCTACTGCTACTGCTATTGCTACTGCTACTGCTACTGCTACTGCCACTGCTACTGCTACTACTATTGCCACCACCACCACCACCACCACCACCACCACCACCACCACCACCACTACCACTACCACTACTACTACTGCTACTACTACAACAACAACAACAACAACTACTACTACTACTACTACTGCTACTACTACTACTACTACTACTACTACTACTGCTGCTACTGTTACTGCTACTGCTACTGCTACTACTATTCCTACCACCACCACTACTACTACTACTGCTACTACTACTAGCACCAGTACTATTACTACTACTACTACTACTACTACTACTACTACTACCACTACTACTACTGCTACTACTAACTACTACTAGCTACTACTAACTATAACTACTACTACTACTACTTTTACTTCTACGTCTACTTCCACTACGGGGCTTCAGCTGCTGCTGCTGCTGTTACTATGAATGCTGCTCCTGCTGCCTCCGCTACTGCTAGGGGCACGCTACTTCTCCCAACTGCTGACTACTAACCAGTAACTACTAAGTACCAACCACCAGCTGCGAATTACCAGCTATCAACTACTAAGTATTCACAATCAACTACTGACTAATACTGCAATTATTGACTAAACACTACTAGCTACTGGCTACGAATTACCCTCTACTACCTACTAACTACTAACACCTTACTACTACCTAAGACTTGCTACTAACAACTCCTACAAGTACTAATGACGACAACAGTAGTAATTAGCAATGAAGGTAGTGCGATTCCAGCTACTATTTCTGGTACTAGTGCGATTTCTCATACTCTTACCACTCATGTGAGTCTTATGATTGTTTGTGCAAGCTTGTAGCAGTGCTGTTCTGAGGAATCTCGATGCTGCAAGCATCGCTTAGACTGGCATTTCGGTCAGTAGAAGAACATTTTCGTGTACCAGTGATTGATTCTGCAAGAAGCCACTTAACCGGCTGCCGGAATCGCTCTGCTCCAGCTTCTGTCGAGCTGGCAACATGTTTCGAAAGCGGCTTGAGGGGCATGTTGGCCATCTGCTGCATCTGTGTGCTGCACCCTGAACCGAATCCGACTTTGCTTGCCGCTGGCTGCTTCCTCGCTGAAGGCACCTTTGCCGCGGTGTCGACCATTCCGCCCAACTTTTGGGATGCTGGAAACTCAGACAGTCGTAGATGGCTCTCTGCTATGACAGGCACGATTCTTGTGAAATCTGGTGCCTGCGACATGCTACGACTCATGCCGCAGGGAATTGCCAACATACAATGGACGGGCTGGACCGCCTCGGCCTGGGTCTACCCATCGGTGCCTCCATCCCAGAACGTACGCTTGCTTGGACGATCGAACTTCAATGCTCCTGAGTTGCAGACGAGCCCATGCCTCTGACAGGTTGGATTCTGGGTTCAGGGTTCAGGGTTTAGGGTTTAGGGTTTAGGGTTTAGGGATGTTCGGTGCTTCCAAGGAGATGTTCGATGTGTTTGCCATGCAGTTAACACCAGATTTCCTTGTGCGCTGCGCCGCCGCGGACAATCCCGACCTAGGCAGGTGGTGGGTGGGGCTCTAGTTCCAAACGCGGGCAGAAAGTAAATGAAAGTTCGGAGCCCTAAACCCTAAACCCTAAACCTAGAAGGGCAGCCCAAGGCCAAGGCGAAGTAGTTTTCAGCCCGAACAGTGGTGTAGGTCTCAGGGCTTAAAGTACCCAAGTCGCACATCCATGTACTACAGCTGCCGCCTGTACAGGACCGGATGCATGTACATCACCAGCTGCACAGCCATTGCTCCAGAATACTTGGACACATGTGGTGTGTCAGCACGAGATAGACTGGAGTGGTCCGTCGACGGGATCCACATTGAGGCCAGGAATACCCAGAGAGCCCAAACGCCCCGTAGACTCCATCCCCGAACTCCATTACTCCCTGAACCTCCCTGACCTCTAAATGTTACATGCCACACCTTACGTATAGTTCCGCACTCCAGGATATATGTTGATGGTGTGCTGGTGAAATCCTGCAGCACCGGTGAGCCGTACTGGACACAGCCTGGGCGTCTGGACTGCCTTGTTTAGGATTCAGGGTTTAGGGTTTGTGGCTTAGGGTTCAGGGTTTAGGGTTTGTGGTTCAGGGTTCAGGGTTTTAGGGGTTAGGGATAGCGCCTTCCGTGCAACTGAGTGCAGCCTCTGTGGCTGTTTTGTTGAAGCCTCGCGATACAAACTCTTCTGTTGGATAGCCTAACCCCTAAACCCTATACCTCCTCCTTTAGACATGTGACGCCCGAAGTGAAGCCGCCAGCCCCTGCGATTTCGATCTCAGGCCTCACCTGACTATCGGAGGGCATCCTGTCCGAGCCTCGGGGACGGGGGGCTCGCCCCGGAGACAACGCGTCGGTTGCATCCGGGTACAGGCATGTTTGAGACGTCGTCAGCCTTCAGAAGCCAAGGAATCTGAAGTCTACTTCGATGGCCGGTTGGATGAAGTGGCTGTCTTTGACCGGATCCTTCCATCAACAGAAATCCAGATGCTGAGAACAGGTTACCGCTTCTCGGTTGCAACGCTGCTGGTACGGCGCGACATGCTAGGTACTCTACCGACTTAGTGGAGCGACGTGATGTAGGAAGTACGTCTCCTTAAGACCTTTCACCTGGACTTTGCAATTTGCTGCTTCCAGCATGTTTTCATGCCCTAAGCCCTAAACCCTAAACTAAACCCTAGACCCTTTGCAGCTGCAGGCATAGCCAGCTGGCCAGCAGGCGACACATCCTACTCAGTGGAGGTGGACACGGCCGTGCCCTTCAACGCGACAACCCTACATGCTGTAGCTGCTGGGGGCCCAGTGCCAGTGCTTTGTGTCAACTTATTCCCACTGCGGTGTCTACTGCCTTTACTATTACTCCTAGTTTAGCCACTCTTAAAGCTCACCACCTACTTTAACTAGTCTTGCCGTTCGACTCATTCTGAGCAGTGCTGCGATTCTCAGACAGAAGCTTGGCGTTGTAAGGGAGCCGTTTCGAAAGCAGCTTTTGCCTCGGTGGTCGTGAAGAAGTTGACGGCGAGGTACTTCTTGCTGCAATTGTTGAGGAGGGGTGATGGTGATAGTGCAGACAGCGATGTGGCCGATGGTTGTAACGACATCAGCGAAGGCGATGGCGTTGAGGCCGTGGCTGCTGCTGCTGCTGCTGCTGGTGTTGTTGTTGTGGTCGTGGTGGTGGGGTGCTGGTGCTGGTGCTGGTGCTGGTGCTGGTGCTGCTGGTGCTGGTGCTGCTGGTGCTGGTGCTGGTGCTGGCGCTGGCGCTGGCGCTGGCGCTGGGGCTGGTGCTGGT